TTGGTGCACGATAAGCACATAATACGTTGACCCTTTTATTCTTGGTTAGTAGCTTGCACAACTGCACATTTCTCGTGCAGAGAATGGTGACTGATTTTATGTGGTTTGTGCCTCTTCTTATAAGAATTGCGAATCCTCCTCCCGCATATTCCTGGATTCGGTCCTGCCGGTAGACGGAGAATGACTCTTGGACTATCTGTGGTATATGGTCTGTATCATTCAGCCATATTTCGGTGATTGCTACTACAGACATCTTTTGTTCCCAGGCTACTCGAGCCAGTTCTTCCCATTTACTCCTAATGACGCATGCATTGGTGTACAGCATGAACATGCTGTCCTCCCTTCCCATGCATTTCCCATAGGTTCTTCTTGCTTGGGCCTCGGGCGCAGCACCGGAGGAGACAGCAGGATTTTTCGCGGTGATTACCTTCACCCTCTCCCGTTCTTTGTGTTACTGTGTCGTGTTGTGCGTTGTTATTAGCACATGTCTTCATTTCACGGTAGTTATCTCACTGACTATATAAAATGACTTTGACTGCAGTATGCACGTGGACAGATGCAGCGAAATGACCATGGCTACATTGTGCATACCCATGTTTCTGACTTCTCTATTCACATTTGTGACGGGAAAACATTGCTTCCAAAGTCCAGATAGCAAAATTCCACATTCTTATCCTTACCCAGTCTCGCTGTAACTTCATCTAAAAGGTGAAACAAATTGCTGATACATGATTTTTCTTTTAGGAATCCGAGCTTTGCCGCAATCAGCAGGTGGTTTGAGGCATTCGCCTAAGTGGGTTTGGATGATTTGCTATAGGGCTTTACACAAGATACTTGCGAGATTTACCGAACGATAAGGCTCCACCCTTTGTCTCGGTCCTCCCTTGTGCATGACGACCATATTTGCAGTTTTCCAATCTTGTGGTGTGCTGCCCTGCTCTAGAGTTTTGTTGTACAGATGGAAGAGTGAGCCACCTAGAACCTCGGTGAAGTATTTCTCTAAGGCTAGGTGGATGTCATTTAATCCGGTGGATTTGGTGGCATTGAGCTCACCATGAATCTTAGGCACCTTTTCCAACCCCATGTGTAATTCGGGGATACCCGGTCCAGCTGTGTGCGGGTCAGGATTTGTGGTAACGAGTTTCTCCATCCTATGCACGCTTTTGAAGTAGTCCTTAAATTGCACTGATATATTCAACTCATAGATAACTACTTATAGTAATTCTACTACTAGTAGTAGTAGCAAACAATGAACACGTAACACCAATCACCGAATACAAATCGCTGATTAGCAGTCATGGACATAAGGCGGATTAAATAATATGTACAAAACAAGCTCATTCGTCATCGTGCCTCTGCCAATGGTGATATAGTATTTGTGCGCTGTTCAGCTTGTCTTTCAGCAGCACGTGTTCTCATTAACTGGAACGATCGACCAACGGCATGTAGCCCTGTAGCTGCGGCACGCAAGCGCTTTGCTGACTTCACCCGTGAAGCTTGCTTGATCACAGTTGTCCTTAAACTGTAACTCGCCTCTACAGGGTATGCGTTCTCTCCCAGGCTGGGATCACTACACTACTTCTCCGTCATCCGGTATCAAATGCCCATTTCTCACTGAGCCGTCCCTCAGATTGTACATGGCGGTAGAATCATTTTGGCTGTTGTTTCACACAATTGGCCAGCTTAATCTCGTTTTGCCGTTTGAGCTCCCCCTGAACTGCCACTGATCTGTTTCTATTCTTGCTGTACTGCACCCAGGACCTGTGGCTGCCGGTTGATCCATGGGTGTACCAGCTTCTATTTCTACGCTCAATCGACCTGCTATTTGCTGAGCTCCAACTTGGTTTGTTATTCGCTGCCTTGAGTTTCAGGAGAATACATTCATCCTGCGAGAGTGAGATATTTGCCTTGGTAAGGCTCCAATGCTGATCTATAGTGGTGTTTTTCAGGCTAGGGAACCACTGCAGATCCGCAGCTCGAGCCTTCAGCCTTGTAGCATTTATCGTCTAGTAATTTCTGGACATCCTGATCTTTCTTCTACGGTGCGTTAGACAAATTTTTATAATGATAACGACTTGATTGCTCTTATCCATTGGTGGATGAAAGGCAATATTAGTCAAGTCCCTCTCCCTCGTGGCAACTAGCAGGTTCAGTAGAGATTGAATGTATATCTGTCTGTACCTAGCGCACTTCCGAGCATGCTGTTTCAGGGCCCTCGAGTGCATACATTCTAGGAATGCGCTGTCCGATGTCCTTTTTGAAGCCCGCTCAACATCTCAGTCTATTTTTGGAAAACTGAACTCTTCCTCTCTGCAAACACATTTTGAGTGTCTGTATAAGCTATCGAGAGTGCCTAGGTGTACCTGGTATTTTTCGGGCACCAGGACATCTACACCATCCTCAGTGTACCTGCTTCCCTGTCCCGTCTGTGGATTGTGAACTAGCTTAAGACTGGTTTGGATGTGTGGTCTTC